ACTTAATTTTCAACCGCTCGTAGTGAAGGAGGCTCACGCACACACTCACGCACACACTCACGCACACTCACGCACACTCACGCACGCACGCACGTAAACGCACACAGGCTTCAGGTTGTAATTAGAGAGTAGCTACCATCACAAAAAAAATTATGTCGTGTCTGGCTACAATACCACCTGCTGTACTATAACCAGTTGTTGTACCTGCTGTACCTGCTGCACCTGCTGCACCTGCTGCACCTGCTGCACCTGCTGCACCTGCTGCACCTGCTGCACCTGCTGCACCTGTTGTACCTACTGTACCTGCTGTACTTCAGCCACCTGCTGTGCCATAGTCACTTGCTGTGTACACAACGAGTACTTGTCACAATACACACAACAAGTACTGGACACAATACCCACAACAAGTACTGGACACAATACACACAAGTACTGGACACAATACCCACAACAAGTACTGGACACAATACCCACAACAAGTACTGGACACAATACACACAACAAGTACTGGACACAATACCCACAACAAGTACTGGACACAATACACACAACAAGTACTGGACACAATACACACAAGTACTGGACACAATACACACAACAAGTACTGGACACAATACCCACAACAAGTACTGGACACAATACCCACAACAAGTACTGGACACAATACCCACAACAAGTACTGGACACAATACACACAACAAGTACTGGACACAATACACACAACAAGTACTGGACACAATACCCACAACAAGTACTGGACACAATACCCACAACAAGTACTGGACACAATACACACAACAAGTACTGGACACAATACCCACAACAAGTACTGGACACAATACCCACAACAAGTACTGGACACAATACCCACAACAAGTACTGGACACAATACACACAACAAGTACTGGACACAATACCCACAACAAGTACTGGACACAATACCCACAACAAGTACTGGACACAATACACACAACAAGTACTGGACACAATACCCACAACAAGTACTGGACACAATACCCACAACAAGTACTGGACACAATACACACAACAAGTACTGGACACAATACACACACTGGGAGGTGAGGTGAAGACACAACTGAGTGAGCTAGACACCTGGAAGGCTGTGGTACTAGACAACATCTCTCCGTGAGTTCTGAGAGAGGAAGCACAAGAACTGTGTGAACCACTAGCAGTGGTCTTAAACAAGTTACCTGAAACAGGGCAGCTGCCTCAAGTCCGGAAATCAGAAAAATATGTCCCGACATTTAAGACAAAGGGTCAGACAGGAAGCATTAAACTACAGACAAGTGTCACTGACATGCATAGTGTGTAAGGTAATAGAGGAGACTCAAGATAGAGTAGTGGAACACTTGGAAAGGAGTAGATTAATAAAAAATAACTAACTTGCTAGACTTCTGTGACAAGGTAACGATAGATAGACAGGGAAGAGAGAGAATGATGGGTGGATTGCATATTTTTGGTCAATAAGAAGGTGTTCAATAAAGTATCTCACAAAAGACTGGAACAAGAGATAGTAGAGCAGACAGGAATAATAGAAATAGAGTGGAGGAGGAGGTATCTGGATGGGCGAATGTGACGAGCGGGGTTCCACAAGGATCAGTACTTGGACCAATACTGTTTATTGTGTATGTAAACAAAGTGACAGAAGAAGTCGAGTCAGAGGTGACCCTGTTTACAGGTGACGTAAAACTATTAAGGAGAATACAAACAACAAAAGACCAGGAAAGACCACAAGTAGATCTAGACAAGTTGCAGAATTAGTCTGACAAATGGCTGTCAGAATTTAAACCCAGTAAATGCAAAATTATGAAAGTCATGGAGGGGCGTAAAAGACCACAAACACTCCACAGACTCGGGAAGCATTCCAGTGTTCCACAGTAATGTGGAACACTCTCACCCACATTTACATTAAACCTCCTGCCACGGAGTTTTACACCACTACAATACTTCCTGAAAGAGAAAGACCTCGGTGTGAGCATACTTCTGATGCACACATCAGCCTGATAACTGCAGCAACATAGGCGAGACTTGGAGAAACTGTACCTCAGCACACACTGGAGGCCCAGCAGCTGTACCTCAGCACACGCTGGAGGCCCAGCTGCTGCGCCTCAGCACACGCTGGAGGCCCAGCAGCTGTACCTCAGCACAAACTGGATGCCCAGCAGCTGCGCCTCAGCACACGCTGGAGGCCCAGCACCTGTACCTCAGCACAAGTTGGAGACCCAGCAGCTGTATCTCAACACACGCTGCTATTATTAGCTACTGCTAGTAATGCTGTGGATGCTGATGAGAGAGGAGAGAGACAGAGGAGGGAAGGAGTGAGACAGGGAGTGAGGGAGGGAGTGAGGGAGGAAGTGGGGGAGGGAGTGAAGGAGGAAGTGAAGGAGGAAGTGAAGGAGGGAGGGTAGAGACAGGAAGGGTGGGTAACAGAGATGAAGGAGCTAACAAGAGACAGTAAACAACTATGGTGTAACGCCACCTACACCACAACACTTCGTTATTTTAGGTAGTGGGTAGCCCCGTGAAGGCCTCGTCCACCTCCTCATTACTCTAGGAAGCCCCGTGAAGGACTCCTCTACCTCCTTATTACCTTAGGAAGCCTTGTGAAGGACTCCTCTCCCTCCTCACCTCGAAAACAGTTTTGAGAACAATTTGCTTAATGGTCGTGAAGGGTCGTAAAGACGACCAGAGTGAGAACAAGCGTGTGTGTGTGTGTGTGTGTGTGTGTGTGTGAGTGTGTGAGTGTGAGTGTGTGTGTGTGTGTGTGTGTTGTGAGTGTGAGTGTGTGTGTGGTGTGTGGGGTGGTGTGTGTGTGTGTGTGTGTGTGTGTGTGTGTGTGTGTGTGTGAGTGTGTGTGTGTGTGTGGTGTGTGTGTGTGTGTGGTGTGGTGGTGTGTGTGTGTGAGTGTGTGTGTGTGTGTGTGTGTGTGAGTGTGTGTGTGTGTGTGTGTGTGTGCTGTGTGTGTGAGTGTGTGTGGTGTGTGTGTGTGTGTGAGTGTGTGTGTGTGTGTGTGTGTGTGTGTGTGTGTGTGTGTGTGTGTGGTGTGTGTGTGTGTGTGTGTGTGTGTGTGTGTGGGGTGTGTGTGTGTGTGGTGTGTGTGGTGTGTGAGTGTGTGTGGGGTGTGTGGTGTGTGTGTGTGTGTGTGTGTGTGTGTGTGTGGGTGTGTGTTTTGTGTGTTGTGTGTGTGTGTGGGTGTGTGTGTTTTTGTGTGTGGGGTGTGTGGGTGTGTTGGTTTTGTG